ATTACAGGATATGTTAAAGGGATTACTGCAGATGGAAATGTTCCTAAGCCTAAATACTTTTCACTAGTGAAAGTAAACCCTCAGTAAAGGTAGTAGATCAATTACTTACCAAGCACGTATGAAATTAAAACAAAAGTAGTAAGACCAACTACACACAAAATCAGTCAAAGGATACATAAAAAATGCAGATTATGACATCTAATACACAGTGTGGAGGAGGAAGAAGAAAATGTAGTAATTTTAGATTGTCTTTGAAATAGAGCAATCATCAACTTAATATAGGCTGTTATATAGTTAGGAAACTATCCATGTACCTTATGGTAACCACAAACCTAAAGCCTAAAATAGATACACAAAAAATTTAAAAAGGGAAATCCAATCACAACACCAGAGAAAACTGTCAAATAACAAGAGTATAAGAGAGAAAGAAAGGAACTGAGAGGAGCTTTAAAGACAGCCAGACACTAGTGAATAAAATGGCAATAACTACATACCTATCAATAATTACCTTAAATGTAAATAGACTGAATGCACCAAATTAAAAGACAGAGTAGCAGAATCGATAAAGAAAGACCTGTCTATATGCTGCCTACAAGAAACTCATTTCAGACCCAAAGACATATGCAGACTGAAATTGAAGGGATGGAAAAGATACTTCATGCAAATAATAGGGAGAAAAAAAGCAGGATTAGCAGTACTTATATGAGACAAAATAGATTTCAAAACAAAGAAAGTAATAAGAGACAAAAAAGGATGTTACATAATGATAAAGGGCTCAGTCCAACAGGAGGATATAGCCATTATACATATCTATACACCCAACATAGAAGCACCTAAATATGTGAAACAAATACTAACAGAATTAAAGGGGGAAATAGATTGCAGCTCATTCATTTTAGATTTTAATATACCACCACTTACATCGATAGACAGATCAACCAGACAGAAAATAAATAAGGAAAACAGAGGCACTGAGCAACACATCAGACCAGACGGCTGCAGACCTCTACAGAATACTCCATCCAAAACAGCAGGATACACATTTTCCTCAAGTGCACATGGAACATTCTCCAGACTAGATCACAGACTAGGACACAAAAAGAGCCTCAACAAATTCAAAAAGATTGAAATGGTATCAAGCAACTTCTCAGACTAGGAATAAATTACATTTCCTTCTGAAACCAGGAATAAATTATAAAAAGAAAACAAAACAAAAAAAGAACCCACAAACACACGGAGGCTAAACAATATGCTTCTAAATAATCAATGGATCAATGAACAAATCAAAGCAGAAGTCAAGCAATACACGGAGACAAATGATAACAAATCTTCAATAGTCCAAAAGCCGTGGGGAGCCACAAAAGTGCTTCTGAGAGGGAAGCACACAGACACACAGGCCTCCCTCAAGAAACAAGAACAATGCCAAACAAGGAGTCTAAACTCACAATTAAAGAAACTAGAAAGGGAAGAAAAGTTGAAACCCAGAGTTAGTAGAAGTGGGACGTTATTAAGATCAGAGCAGACATAAATAACAGAGAGGAATAAAACAATACAAAAAAAATCAATGAAACCAAGAGCTGGTTCTTTGAGAAAATAAACAAAATAGACAACCCCCGAGCCAGACTTATCAAGAAAAAAAGAGAGAGTACACACATAAACAGAATCAGAAATAAAAAAGGAATAGTCACAACGGATGCCACAGAAATACAAAGCATTGTTAAATAATTCTATGAAAAATGATATGCCAATAAATTGGACAAATTGGAGAAATGGGCAAATTCCTAGAAAAATACAACCTGCCAAGACTGACCCAGGAAGAAACAGAAAATCTGAACAGACCAATTATCAGCAATGAGATTGAACTGGTGATCAAAGCCGGTGGGGGATAAAGAGGCCCAAAAATTCTCAGTCATAACATAAGTTGGTCACAGGGACGGTAGTACAGCATGGAAAACGTAGCCAATAATTCTGTAACATCTTCCTATGCTGACAGATAGTAACTGCACTAATTGGGATGAGGATTTAATAATATGGGCAACTGTCAAACCACTGTGTTGTATACTTGACACCAACGTAAGATTGTTTATCAATGATACTTCAGTAAAAAATCTTTATATATGTATATGCCATACACACACACACACACACACACACACACACACACACACACATCCTGGAAAACCCTAAGGTAGTATCCTATCTTTGTCTTCCAAGGACAGCACAGACCAGCTTCCCAGAAGCCGGGGACCGCACGCTTCAGCTCCACCCCCTTAAGGGACCTGTGTTGCTCCAGGCACAGCGGGGCTCGCAGCAGTCCCTCCACTTCTGCGCTCACTTCTCACTTTAGCGCCTGCCTCCCGCCCATCCTCTAGACCCCCACATGGCCTCTCGGCAAACCACCCCAAACCAGCTGTGCCTTCTCTCGGCTGACGGTCCCTCATGACAGTTCTGGAATATCCAAAGATGCACGGGCCTCTCCAGCTGTTTGCATTATGTGTATTTACATTTTGTAAAATATGTTTGCTTTGTCCCCAAATCATAAAGCCAAGGCATCTTCCTGCTGCCTCCAGGGGCGACCAACCTGGCCTTAAAGAGGAGCCTGGGAGAGGATGTGGCTGAGACCCTTACTATCTCTGGCCCAGGCACAGGGAATAAGCCCAGGGTGGGGCTTCCCTATTTCAGTTGCTCTCTTGCTTCTTGCCTTTTAACATTTTCCCCCAGAGAGATTTTGGAGCTGGTGCAGTCTGTGACTGCCGAGAAGCAAGGGTTTTATTGGGGGAAGGATGCATCAGGGGGAAGGGGGGACGCACTCTCACGGCTGCACGGAGCTATTGGAAAGTCACATTTATGAGTTATTCTTGTGTAGACCTAGCGCTGTGCTGGAAATGAAAACGTCCAGAGAAATCCATAGACCTCTGTTAAGTGTCTCACTCTTCACACCGAACTTTGGATTCATCCGTGCAGGAGTCACGCTATTTCCGCAGCCTTCCCGGGAGATGCGTGCTCCTGACTGTGCCTTCTGTTGTGCTGGGGGCTCCACCTGGAATACCCTTCTTTCTCTACCTTTTCCACACTGATTATCTTGTCCATAATATGTGGATCTCTTTCTGGTCTCTTTGTTCTGTTTCACCGATCTTCATGTCTGTCCTTAACACCAATTCCCCATGGCCTTGATAACACAGCTTAACGGTAAGCTTACAAATCAAATAGCGTTCTCCAACTTTCTTTTCCATCTTCAAAATTATTTCAGCTATTCCAGGTCCTTCTTTTTCCCAATAAATTTTGGAAGGAGCTTGCCAATTCCTATTAATAAGCCTGCTGGGATTTGGAGTGGAACTGCCTTGTATCCACAGACCAAATTGGGTAGGATTGACACCTTAACAATGCCGAGCCTTTCAGTTGATGAATAGTGTATTTCTCTTCATTTATGGAGGTCTTCTTAATATTTCTCAGCAGTGTTTTGTAATTTAGATAGTACAGACTTTTGCACACATTTTGTTAGATTTTTATCTCTTGTTATTTCATGTTTTTAATGCTATTGTCATCCAATTTTATTATTATAAAAATACAATTGATTCTTGAATATTGACATTGTACTCTACAACCCTACTAAATGTTTCCATTAGTTCTAAAAGTATTTCATAAATTCCTGAGTATCTTGTACAAAAATGATCATGTCATCTGCACAGAATGATAATTTTACCTCTTCCTATTCAGCCTGTGTGATTTAAAATTTCTGATTGCCTTACATAAACTTTGGGTAAATAAAAGACTCATTATTCAAGGCTTAAACTTGAAATATTAGGAGAATTTCCCAAAGCTGAATTGCTGGCTGACCATGTCCCTGGCCTGGCCTTATCCCAGATCACACTGAAGTGGGGTGCTGCCGGCACCAGCAGAGGACAGCGTTTCCACTGCAGTCTGACCTCACTGCAGACACACCAGGCTGCTCAGATACTCTTAGGGTTGCATCTCCACCACTCCTACCAGTACACACCAGGAAAACAGAGCTGAGGACTGGCATAAAAATCCGACCTTCTTCATAAATCAGTTTTTATTTTTGTACCAGTGCTGCAATGAGAAAATTACTAACTTTTATAAAATGGGTAGGCATAGCTGGACAATTTGGTCAATCATAACACTGAGCCTGGTGTATAAATCTTTATGGGTATCCAGGTAGGAATTCATTCACATTATACTCCTTCATGCTGTTTCCCATAAAGGAGACAGGAAATGTTCTTGGGGAAAAGCCTGAACACCAGTCCTACAATGTTTTTTCCTTATACTCCAGCCTGTCAGGTCTCTTTTGGAGGAGGACGTGTGATGGTGATCGCTAATTCAGGAAAAATAAAGCACTGAATTTCAGAACTTAATGTCACCATCTCTTTGGAGACAACAGCAGGAAAGGAATTGGTGTTCAGCCAAATTGAAAACCTTTAGTTCAAGCATGGACCAGAAATGAAATAATAGTCCATTAAGAAGTTAATCTCTTTGAGCAAAAATATCTTTTTATGCTATTTATGCAAAATGATACAGAACTAGCCTTGCATTGCCGCTAGGGAGAGGGGTGAATGGAGTCATTACTAAAAAATGGCACAGTCCTCCTAAGAAGCCCACATTCTCTTTAAAGCTTTAATTCCCTCACAGAAATATTACAGAAACAATGTACAGAATATATAATTGATTGTTGGCTGGTGTGGCATATACAAAATATCAAATAAAATTCACAGAATTGAGAGATGACTGAAAATCCATTTGAACAAAACCAACTTCACAGAATTGAGAGTCAGACTGGACCTTAGAGTTTAGGTGGATATGGGGAAAGGGAATCTGAGATTTCACAGGCAGGTAAAAGATAGACCAGACTGTTACTTTAACATACTAAGTTTCTTCATCTGTAAAATAGATGGAGGTAATAATGCAATGCAGTGAAGTGTACATCAGTCAGGATAGGCTAAGGATGCTACAGAAAAAAACCCCCATCAAAATCCCCATTGGGCTAAAATGCAGTTTTATTCTTCATTCATGTCCATCGTGGGTAAGGAGAAAAGACTACTTATATGGTCACCCAGGACTCAGGCTGAGGGTGCAGCACAATCTTGCACACTTTTATCTGTGGGTCGCAGACAAGAGCATCTTGGAGGAGAATTCCATCGATTAGGACTTGTGCCTACCATAAGGAGTAGAATCCTACCATATGTCTGGAAGGCAGAAAAATAAAAAGTATTTTAACCAGGTCAGTGTTTGGCACAGATACTGTATCCAAATGTCAGTGGGGGTGATAAATGAGTAAACAGACACTTGTGACAACATGGTAAGGACACCATCAAAGGAATCACTGAATGCAGTGGAGACACAGAGGAGGGGCAATTAGGCCAGAAGGAAGGTGCCGCAGGAAAAGCTTTCGCGCTCGATGGAGCATCTGGGCTGAGCCTGCAAAGTCAAGTACAAGACAGTTGGGTCAAAAGGAGGTGGGCTGGCAGCACACATTCCAGGCTAAGGGAGCCATGTGTGCAAAAGCCAGGTAACTCAGAAGCACGGCACAGACCAGGACACGTGGTGGTGGTTTATGGCTGTGAGAGTCGGGGAAAGGCAAACGTTAACTCTACGCAGACAGACCCTGACGAGATCTTGAAGGGCTCACTTTGCTGTGCTGAGGAGTTTCAGATTCTGTTCTGAAGGCGGTGAAGACCCATTAAATGATTTCAAGCAGGAAGGTGACACGGTTAGACTGGCATTTTAGAAAGAGCATTCTACTAAAAGAGATGAATCTGGATTAGAAGGGGCTGGATCTGGATACAAAGAAATGAGCTAGGAGGCTTTGAAACATCTTGGCAAGAGCTGATCGGATGCACTCAGGCAGTGCATCCGATCTACTCAAAGGTAGAATAAAGAGAATATTATATATGAAAGTATACAGGGAGCTCTGGGACCAGGATGGACACTGAGAGATGTCCCAAGTTGAGACAAGCCTTTGGCATCCTACACGGATCAGCCTGGAAGCAGCTGCCCCCACGGAAGTGGAGTCAATGGGGGGAGGCAGCTTCCTTTGACATAGGGACACACCCCAGAGGTCTGAGCTCCTTCAGGTGTGCCAGCAATACTCCTGGCAGCTGAAAGGGTGGGGAGGAGGCGCTGCAGTCTGTAGAGCACAACACATCACCCACCACAACCACAGAATGTTTTGGGGCTTGTTCTAGATGCATTTACATGCAATAATTTGTTTAATTCTTATGACTTATCTATGAAGTAGTTGCTGTTATTATTCTTATTTTACAGATGAGGAAACTGAAGCATTGGCAGGTTAAATAACTTGCTCAAGGTTATAAAGGAGAACTGAACTGTGCACACAACCAAGTACCAGGCGTCAAAGCCTATGCTATTCTGCGGTTCTGTCTCGACAGAGGATGCGTTCCCCCTGCCATCGCACAGACATCCATGCAGGAAAGCCGTGACAGCTGTGGCAACCCTGCAGCGGCCCCCACATCTCACTGGGCTGGCGGCTCCCTTGAGACACTGCATACCGTTCTAGGTTTTATACTTGATTCTCCACAGCAAATCTTATGACATTGTCCAATGTCTAGTTAATAATGAGTTTGTCATCGTAAATACTTTTCTTCTGAAGAAAATAACTGGGTAATAAAATAACTTAAAGTGAAACATTAAAAATTTGACATTCTAGGAGCATGTGGGAACATGTGCTGTTTAGATATTATAGAAAGCTGGGAATAGATCCCAGGCATGTAGAAAAGGGTGACGTCACTCCACCAGAAGGGCTAAAATAAAAGGTCTGACAATACTAAGTGCTGATGAGACTGGAGCAGTTGGGATTCTTAAACAATGCTGGTGGGAGTAGAAAATGGTCACTTGGACAAAGTCTGGTGACATGGTGGATGAATCCCAGAAACCCTGTACCAAGTGCAAAAAGCCTTACATAAACAGAAACATACTGTAAGATTTTATTTATGTGATGTTCCAGAACAGATAGAGCTAATCCATGGCAAAATAAATCAGATTTGTAGTTGCCTCAGGTAGAAGGGGTAGATACAGCCTGGGAGGGACATGAAGGAACCTCATGGGGTGACAATAATGGTCTGTAGCTTGATAGTAATGCTCTACATCAGAAGTGCATCTATTTTTGAGAACAGAATGCACTATTAATATTTACACATGTTGTTATATATACACATTGCCTCACTGGGAAAAATAAATGCTGCATTCTAGTTAGTGATAAGCATGTTGAAGTATTTAGGGTGAAGTATACTGATGTCTGCAGTTTATTTTAAAACATCAATAAAATGGGATGAATTGCTGATGGATAGAGGAATGTTGGGTAGTCATGTGTTAAGACAAGTATAATATGTTAATGGTAGGATCAAGGTTATAGGTAAGTAGATGTTCAGTGTAGAATTCTTTCAACTAGATTGCAAGCTTGCTACTTTCATAGAGAAATATTGAAGAATAGGACTGAAGACACCAGTGTCTTAGGTACCCTGATACATAGTTTTAAAGGACTTTTTCTTGGTAAAACATCCTGATAAAGCCCCCAGCACCATTCTTTGTTAATCTGGGCATGATTAGTACACCAAGCACACACTAGGTATCTTCTCAGTGCTGAAGTTTTAGTCTGGATGTAGTACATATGCTTATAGGATGAGCAGGGCCTGTGTCCTGACCTCGAGGGGCTTACAGTCCCTGCATATCAATAACAACCAGGAACTGTGGGTCCTCTCACAGAGCTATGGACAGGATGGCATTGGGGTGAGGCCTGAAGAATAAAGGAAATTAAAACCGGTAAGGAAGTGGGGAGGAGAAAGAGAAGCCTCCAGAGGAGCAGCATTCCAGGAAACGCATACATCGCGTCACTGTGAAAAGTGGAATGTGCTGGGACAGCAGATGCTTTGGGCAGGAGCTGAGAGCTGGGATTTGGAGTGCAGGGAGTGACCACATTGTTAGGGACTCACAGACCCTCAGGGACATTTGCATTTAGGGAAGATATGTTTGATAAACGCTAGGGAAGATACGTTTGAGAAACGCTGGGGAAGATAATTTCCAAAGGACATTTAGCTTGAAGATTGTCAGTTACATTGATCCTTGAACAATGCAGGGGTGGGTTGGGGTTTAGGGGCATCGACCCCCTGCACAGCTGAAAATCCACATACAACCTTTGATGCCAAAACCTTAACTGTTGAAGGGAAGCCTTACTGGTAACAGAGACAGTCAATGAACACATATTTTGTATGTTGTATTATATACTGTACTTACAACAGGTACTGTATTATATATTATGTACAATAAAGTAAGCTAGAGAAAAGAACATGTTTTTCAAATTGTCACAAATCTCCAAACTTTTTCCACTTTACTTATTGAAAACAAATCTGCATATAAGTGGACCTGTGCAGCTCAAACTTGCTGTGCACGGGTCAGCTGTACTAAGTATGTCAACGTAGATGACTTCTTTCTTTGATAAGCAAGCAAGGAAAAGCCTTATGTATGGGAAAAGTTTTAAAAAGCAAATGAATGCTTCCCCCACATAAACTTTATTTTCATGAACTTCAAAGAAGTGGGTTGGTTGTACCCCATAAGGTATTATTTTGATGTATCTATGACGATTCATGCACGGAGAATCACGGCTTCAAAAAAAGACAAATACTAGCCTGAGAAAGATGAGCACGCTGAGGTTGTGCATGTGACATCTTACAGATCCAAAGCCTCCATTTGAAGGAGACAGATTTGCTGCGTTATTTCTCCGTCAGAGTTGCAGAGATGAGCAATTGGATGTTTTATTTAAACAAACATTCTGGTAATGCATAGGTGATCAATTTTAGATAAATCTGAGACAAAGAGAAAACACTTAACATTGAGATTATAGGAAAACTTTTTTTCCCCTCCATCCATTCTAGCTGTGAGCATCAAGTTTCATAATGAGACAAGCTATGAAATCATGTTTTATTTCTGTTTTGTTTTTGGTGCTGGCTCTGAGCTACCAGTAAATAGGCTCCCGTTTGATAGAATACCCCATAAACTAGAGTTTACTGTATTTGCAAAGCATGAATAAAATCACCACAAGTTAAGTTTTATGTTGTAGGATTTAAACATCTTTTTAATGTTTCTGAGAAAGAATCGAGTAATTGTAGGTACTTTCCTCCCCTCACTGCCACACTGCTTTCACTTCATTAATGGCAAGAACAGAAAACATTCTGAAAAATATATGAGCAGACATGGTTTTCTGCATATTTAAGAGGAAATAGCTCAATCCATCAAGATATTCTCCCAAGAAGAATGTCCTGGAAGGGACACCCGTGTCTTTAGGTTTTGAGAGAAGCCAGCCTTGTTTGGGGATCGACATTTTTTTTCTGTGTCGTCTCTTTGGAAGGAGGTTTGACTGTTCTTTGGGGACATTTAGTAGCTTCCCCTTCGACGAGGTCCTTCCCTTTATGCTACTACACCAGGCTCTCTCCTCCACCCATCTGCTCGTATCTAAATGCAATCTCACCAGCGCAAAGAGGCTTGACTGGGGTCTTTTTCCAAGTACTATTCCTCTCTCGAGGCTCTGCTGCCTCTACATCACTGCCGTTTCTACCATGAAAGGGACATTGACATGACCCATTGGTGATTTTCCTTTCCCCCAATTCCACCGGACAGAACAAGCCTCCCTTTTGAAATGAAACCTCCAAGTGAAAATATCAAGTAGACTAAAGTGTGGGGAATTTTATACCCTTTGTGCCATTCTATCTGCCACCATCTGAAAACTCCAATGCATGCAGTATTCCTCCTGAAGTATGGAATGAAGAACTCGAAGCCCAAATATCCACAGGAGATATCAATATTAAAATGTCTACCTAAAAATTTCAAGATGGGTCTGGAATATCTTGTAAAGTCAAAGAGTAAGGAAGTGAAGAATAGAAAAGCCGAAAGGGCTGGTCAAAAGGTCACAGGAACTGACTTGAAAGAGCTCCCAGTGATCTAACTAGGGACAATTTGAGAAACAAAGTGAATAATGATAGTATTCCATTATAAATGAAAATATAAAATAAACACCCATGAGTCCCTACTGACACGAATAAGTGATTGAACAAATAAATAACTTAAGAAGGGAAAAGCCTTCCTTATAGAATTTCAAATGACAAGGACGGGCTGAGGGAAGTAGGAAGCCATCCTCAGGACCCTCGCACAATGGTGGCTGTGAGTCTGATACCCC